CCAGCTCGTGAGGTTCTGCAAGTTTCATGTTCACAAGAGTCACTAAAATGTCCCAGCGGGACATTTGGCTCAAGACTGAGACTGTGCTGTGAGCATAGGATTAGTGAAACCCAACCCTGTAGCGCGGCTTTTCTTTGATCAACATTTGCAGTGGCAGCTCCGGCTTAGCTGACGTGACCAAGGGCACAGTCTGTGCGGCACAGTTGTTTTAGAAGGTGGACTTGGAGTCCATTGAAAGTCCTGGCATGGTGGAGTTGAACCGCTGTCAGCTGACAAAGCCTCCATGGTTCTCAGTTCAGGGCACATAAAGGCAGCCGAGGCAGCCGAGGCGACCTGCCCGGTGCAACCTGCGGTGGGACCCTCCGTGAGGTAACGACGTCTTACGGAGTGAACGTGCCCAGGACAGGTCGGTGGGTGTGCGTTTGAGCTGAGTAATCACAGGTCACACGGATCCACCACCCAAGAGGTGTGGTGACCGTAACCGCCTGGCAGTTGTTGGTGTACCCATACGATGCGATGAGCAAACTCATGCGATGCGGACTTGTCAAACTCCATTCCAACTGCCAATGAGCAAAATCATTTGCATTGCAGAGCTGGCACAATCTTTGCTTGCCATTACACTTGGTCTTGATTGTACCTAGTCCGAGTGCAAGCAGTTGAGAACCCTGGGAGGATGGTAGCCTCATGTGGCCTCAAAAACAATTCTGTTTCTGAGAGATGACCACGCCCACAGGGACTGCAGTCTTTCCACCCGCCCTGCTGCTCCTCGCTCTGCTCCTCCTGATCCTTCCTAAGGTGTGAAGTGTGGAGGAAGATGGTCAAATCTGGGAAGAGGAGGGTCGGCGCCATGCCTGCCGTCCAGCCTCGATGCCACGTCCCATGGTCGCTGAAGGAGGAGACCAGCAAGACCAGCTTGCGCAGCTTGCGGCCAGGGGGAAGCATGGGCACGCATTTCCGTATCTGGCTGGTGGCGGGTGGTAGCAAACTCTCCCGGGCCAGCGCCGCGAAGTTCGAGTCGAGGGGAGCCCGCTAGGACATTTTGGTGACTCTCGTGAACATGAAATGCACAACCTCACGAGGAGACCCTTCTGAATCACACTTGCACACGCAAGCTACATGCAAATTAGAATATCCTCCGGGTTCCAAGGACCCCCCACACCGAACCCAGCCGAAGGCACGGCTGCTGATGCTCTCGGTCTCGGTTCCAACGGCGAGGCCTCAGGCTGATGCTGGAGTTGCTGATGTCGGTCAAGGGATCTGTAGCTTCCACTTCTACTTCTGGCTTTTGCGGTTATTCAGGCAAAGTACAGCGTGTTGCTCATTGCCATCCCTAGAGTGACCATTGCATCTGCAGGCAATAGCAATTGAAAATTACGTTTGTTCATCGTACTTCCTTGGTGGCTTGGTGTTCAGCACAGTTCCCTAGAGGGGTGCACATATGTGCACATGTTTGCCAATGTGGAGGTTGCCACTACACGCTTATTTTGCTATGTTTTATAACCTTTCTAGGTCCTACAGTCCTAGTCACTGGCCTGTGGGAAGTTGTGGGAATTACAGAAAGGTACCCTGCTAGACTGACTGATCTGGTTCTTGGGCTTCTACATGTTAATAGAACATACAGTGTTGATGGCAGTCATCACCAACAATACGCAAATACCGGCAAGGTTATAACTTATACATACAACCTCACCGAGTTACTGAAACGTTGGTGAAATTGCCCAAAGCCATGTTTCACCCTGTCAGCCCCTGTTGTGGTTTCACAGCCATACAACAAATCAAGCAAATAAAGTGACAACAAATGTTCACTCCCACGTGGATACGGTAGTTATCAAGGCAAAACCAAGCTATTCATTGGCTGCAAAGCTCTAAACAAACCATTGTTCGGAGTCAAGTGTTTCCCAAAAAGTGGGACTGGATGAGTTTCTTACATGGATGGGTCCTAAATTGATTATAAATTATTGTGAATTGAATTATTCAATGTATTTGGGATTGTCTGGGTATGAACACATGGCCAATCAGTAAACTTGTAACTACATGTTACGTGTTGATATATCGTCCAAGTGAACGGAAGGAAACACTTGGGGTAGGCGTTCAGTTGTCTCCACCAGTACCGGGAATCCCCTTGCCACCCAGCACCCAGCAAAAAAGCAGGCGAGATGCCTACACAAGTAGGCGAGCGCAAACAAAAACACTGGGAAAACAGAGTTCGGACAACGGCAAACTATCGCCAATTGAAAAGGACGACACTGGCCTATAGGAATGTTCATGGACTAGTTCATGGGGCGACGGCCTAACAAGTAGGTCAAGTCCATGCATTCGGTTCCTAGCTCAGCAGTCCAAGGGTGATGATTGATCTTACCAAAATCGATTCCCCATGATCAAACAAACTCTCTACAGGAAAGTAACACGTTCCCTGAAGCCAAGATCTCGAGTCTGGAGTCTAATCTCCCCACACCGAACCCAACACCGAACCCAGCCGAAGGCACGGCTGATGCTCTCAGTTTCAACTGGAGCCTGTTGCTGTGATTGGCACCTGCGCGTTTCCGAAGTGATGGTTGAAAACTGACTTTGGTGAAAAGGAAGCCATCCTATATGTGCTGCCTCCCGAGCCATTTGGGTGGAAATTAAGGTTAACCTTTGGCCACCATGTTTAGTTGGGAAACTAATCCCGCCAAACAGGTTAAAGGTTAGCCACTCACTGGGTAGGTACAAATCACCCTTGGAAAAAGAAAGTTGCAAGAGCTTATGACCTGAGGCTTTTTCGTGGCGTGGACGTCGTCTTTGTCCTTCCCAAACTTCTTGAAGCGTCGAATATTTTACATAAAACAAAAGTTTCTGCTCACCAGGCTTTTGGACCGATTGACTTGACTATCGCAATGAGCTCAGTGCGATGACCATCGGGCCAGTGCTGACCTACTGCTCACACAAGATTCCTACTGAACACAGCACAGTGACTTGATGGCAAAGTCATCACAAGTAGTGGAAATGAGTTCTAGCCCTACTAGTGCCACCCAGGGTTGGTTTCTAAAAAAAACATCATGTGTGAAAACGACACAAACACTGGGAACAAAGAGTTCGGACAATGGCAAACTATCGCCAATTGAACAGGCCTACGAAAGTTCATGGGCCTAAGGAGTAGGTCAAGTCCATGCATCCGGTTCCTAGCTTAGCAGTCCAAGGGTGATGATTGATCATACCCAAATTGATTCCCCATGATCAAACAAACTCTCTCCAGGAAAGTAACACGTTCCCTGAAGCCAAGATCTCGAGTCAGGAGTCCAACCTCTCCACACCGAACCCAGCCGAAGGCACGGCTGCTGATGCTCTCGGTCTCGGTTCCAACGGCGAGGCCTCAGGCTGATGCTGGAGTTGCTGATGTCGGTCAAGGGAAAGTACAGCGAGTTGCTCATTGCTATCCGTAAGGTCCGTAAAGTGACCATTGCATCTGCAGGTAATAGCCACTGAGAGTTACGTTTGTTCATCGCACTTCCTTGGTGGCCTGGTGTTCATCAC